GCAGGAGCGCCGCCGCGCTTCCCAAGCAGCGCACTGTAGCAGTGTGCCACCGGGCCGGCCCCAAAGTCTACCTCTTCAAAGAAGAAGACAAATTTTAAGTATAGATGAATACATGACAGCATGATCAGTTTATTAAATTATTCTGGGTATTATCAGTTCTAAAATTTGGTCCTTCAGATTTATTAGATGAAGGAAAAGATTTCTGAGGTTGATCATGAGAGGGAAAAAGGTAGCCCTTTTCATTGTTTTTATTTCTTATTCTGGAGAAAATATGAGAATTTATATGTATTTGTGAACCATACATTTTCTATGTATTTTAATATTATGAGCAGTATGTATTGTAATCTGGCTTTATTGGGTCAGTCTAAAATGTGGTTCATTTGAGGTCCTTTATCTAATTAATCCATTTAAAACCGTACTTTTAGACTTCTATTTTCATGCTAGCAGAAACTTTCCATGTCTGGGATGCTGGGCTCTACCTGGATAGGGAAGTGGAAAATAAAAGAGCTAAGGAGGAGAGAGAAGTGAAAAGAATAATGGGGGCTAGAGGAGGTCTCATTTCAGTGTTATTTGTGTATTGCTCTTATGAGGGAATGTGTGGACTAGTGTAGCAGTAAGGCTGCCACATAAAAATTCAGGCCATAAAGGACAAAAACCAGGATTTCTTTAGGACTATTCCATTACCTTCATATGCCTACCTGACATTGAAATCTGTGGTAATATTTTTGTCTTCCAATGAATAGTTATTCATTGTGAAGTATGTGTGCCTTTGTTATGTAGTATGTATGTTACGCCTTTAACAAAAATTCTTTTGAGATGAATGCTGAACTCATTTTTAAATTCTTCTTTCAGATTGTTTCCATGTGTTTTATATCTTCAGATGAGATTATATTTATAAACAGAGTGAATTAGTCTTTGTGCTTATGTAATAGGGGTCTATACCATGGTAACTAGTATTACATTGTTAGAAATACCATGGGATCAAGTCACAGTTCCTGAAAATTATGACATAGTTCACCTGCAGCACTATGAGTTATAAGTTCAGAAGCCCCAAATCAACATGTTTATAATTATCATTATTTCTTTTTAGTGGATGGAAATATTGAAATTCTTACAATTTGAGAAAGAATGTAAATTGGATTATCTACACCTTGTGTATGCTCATTCTCCCCATCCATTCTCTAGTCTCATCTGTATCTCCTTTCTGTTTACCAACCACACTGACCTTTTAATGCCTCGAAATGAGTAAACTCCATTCTACTGCAGGGCTCTGGTAGATGCTGTTTCTTTGCCTGGACTGCCTTCTAGTCTTTTTTTCATCTGACTCACTCTTTTAGGTCTCAGCATAAATGTTACTTCTTCAGGCACACCTTTTTTTATTATCATTATTTATTATAAGCTTATTATTATTATTACAAATTGTGATTTTTCTTTATGCCCTTTACTCAACCTCTCCCTCCCCAAACTGACCCCTGCCTCCCCCCATCTCCAGTATCCTTAGGTTTGTTTTCCCCTTCTGAAAGTTCAGTGTATTGTTTTGGTCTTTTCTTTTTTTTCCTCTTTCCTCCCTCCCTTTCTCCCCTCCCCTTCTAGTTATAAGTGAAAACATGTGGTATTTCTCTTTCCTTGTCTGGCTTCTTTCACTTAACATAATTTTCTCCAGACTCATCCATGTTGCTGCAAATGGCAGAATTTCATTCTTTTTTATAGCTGAGTAGTTATTCCATTGTGTATATATGCCACATTTTCCTTATCCAGTCATCCGTCGATAGACAGGTTGGTTTCATATTTTGGCTATTGTAAATAGAGCTAAATAGAGCTGTGGTAAACATGGGTGTGCACGTATCCCTTCAACACGATGATTTCCATTCCTTGGAATATATGCCAAGTAGTGGGATTGCTGGATCATATGGTAGTTCTATCTGTAGTTGTTTGAGGAACCTCCATACTGTTTTCCATAATGGCTGTACTAATTTACAGTCCCCCCAACAGTGTAGGAGGGTTCCCCTTTCTTTGCATCCTCGCCAGCATTTGTTGTTCTTGGTCTTTTAACTCCTTGGATTAGGCAAGTCTTCTCTATACTCTTACTTTTCCATTGCAGAACTATCAGTTTATAAGTAAATAATTTGGGGAGTAGGAGATGTGTCTGTCTTGTGTGCTGCATCTTCTAGTAAGTAATTGTAGCTCAATAAAAATGTATTGAATTAATGAATACAGGCATGATATTTGCATTCCTTGTTTTCTGTTGCTAATACTTTTACCTTAGTTTTTTTCATTCAAATAAAATGTTAATTTTTTTTTCTTCTCAAGAGTTTGGCTGAATTGGAAGTGTTGTGTACTCATCTGTACATAGGGACTGATCTTACACAAAGAATAGAGGCTGAGAAAGCACTCTTGGAACTTATTGACAGCCCGGAATGTCTCAACAAGTGTCAACTTTTATTAGAACAAGGAACAGTAAGTATTTGATAATAGCAATTAAGCATGAAAGATCAGTAGAAGTTGTCCCTCCATTTCTGCAGGGGATTGGTTCTGGGACCTGCATTGATACCAAACTCCATGAGTGTTCAGGTTCCTTATATAAAATGGCCTAGTATTTGTTTGCACTTAACCTATGCACATCCTCCCTTATTTTTTATACTTTGTCATCTCTAGATTACTTATAATACTAATACGATGTAAATGATATGTAAATGGTTGTTATACTGTATTTTTTATTTGTATTTTTTTGTTGTTGTTTTTCCCAAATATTTCCTATCCACTGTTGGTTGAATCTGTTGATGTGGAACCTATAGATATGGAGGGCTGACTGTAGACATATGTCAGTGTTAATAAACTTGTGTGTGTTAGCAATGATATCTGATGGATATTGCCATGTATTTTTTATTATAGTTCATTTCACTGTCAAAGAGATTAATCACACAGGTATTGGTATTCAGAACTGTACCCCACAGGTATTTGCAATCACTTATGCTTCAATAAAAAAAAGGATAAATAAAAAACCATGTATCTACAAAAAATTAAAAAAAAAAATCAGGGAAAGAATTGGAAAGCCTGGAAAGCAATCTTAGGAAAAAGGCAGAAGGTGGAAATAGAAATGAATTGAAAAAGTTTCTTGATTCTTCTTGGCCACTTTTTACGCCTCATATTAGTGGGCAAAAATCACAGTTTTAGAAAGTTAACCAACAACTTAAAAAAAATCTAGGTGGCAAAAGCAGGTTGTAATTAACTCTGAAACATGACCGATGATTTGGCATAATGCAGAGTACCTCCCTTCTACATATTCATAGCCATTCATTCAGCAGTCCTTTAGCAAACACTTAAAAGTAAAACCAGAAACTGTACTACCTACTTGGTTTATGTACACGAATTAAAGTAGGTTATTGTTTAGTTGGAGAGGCGTAGATATTATAAAGAGCTATGAAATTAGATGGTAAGCATTACAGTAACAGAGTATAGTCTAGAGCAGAGCTGGCAAACTTTTTCTGTGAAGGACCAGAAAGTAAATATTATAGGCTTTGTGTGGGCCAAGAGGCAAAATGAAGGATATTTTCTAGGTACATTTATAATCGGAGAGAAAACAAATTTCCACAAAGTTTTACTGATGAAATTCAAAATATAATATTCAAATAGTTTTTTGTAATAGAAGTCTACTAATGAAAGAATGGAACTACTGTTCTTTTGGGAATAACATTTTGTTTAATTGGAGTTCAAATTTGGTGTTTCCTGTCAACAGCATATATTGCAAATGTTCATATGTTAATGCTGATCTGTGATGAAATTTTACGTATTTCATCTTTGAAAGTATCTTTTCACATAGGTACTGCCAAATACTAAAATCAATCCATGAGCATATGGTTTTAATTAAGCATATTCATCACTCTGAAGGCACTTACTGAATTATATTAAACCTTCTTTTGATATTGCCTTTTTGCATGTAAAATTGCAGATTAGCCACTTCTGATTGAAAATTAGGTGGAAACTCCTCAATTGCACAGTTAAATGGATTTTGAAATATGGAAATTTCCTTTACACTTGATCAAGGTCTGAAAATGTTGGAGCTCAGAAAATATATCTGGTTACTACTTGTAACTTTTGGCAGTGTGGGAATTGCATAAAGCAGCTTGACATTACTTCTGATTCAGACAGTGTTAGTTGTTATTGAAATGACTTTAGTGCAGTATAGGTTCTATATATAAGCATTAAGCACTATTTGCCTTTTGTCAAATTCACAGAAGTGAATGAAATTCACTGTTAATACCACTGATTGATTAACTTATGATAGATTCAAGTATTTAATACGCAGTATGTGTTGATGAATAATACAGTGAATAACCATGGAATTTAAGCATCTTATATATTTTTACAAGCTTTGTAAGTTTGTCCAATTAAACCCTTTTCTGCCCCACATATTTTTACCACAACTTAGGAAATTCTACTTCAGGTCACACTGAATTAATGTTTCCTCAACTACTTTGAAAATAATCTGGTCTGTAGTTCCATACTGACTCTTCATAGAGGATAATTCTTTAGTCATTTCACATTTAGTATTGACTTTTAGAATAAGCAGATAGTAAGTATTGGTAACATTAACAGTATGAGTAATATTAGTAACATCTATCCATGCATCAAGAGCTAAGGAGAAAATCATTTTGTCTTGTTTTTTGTTGTCTGTTTTGTTTTTGGTGGCTGACTGGTATGGGGATCCAAACCCTTGACCTTAGTGTTACAAGGCTGCACTCTAACCAACTGAGCCAACATGTCAGCCTATTTGTCTTGTTCTTAAATTGACTTTTGATGTTGCTCCAGTGTCCTTAACTCTTTGAGTATTTGTTCTCACTGAAAGGCCAGTAGTCTTAAGTTTACTTTCTCTGCACACATAACTTTGGCTGCTGCAGTAAACAATGATGATTTATTAACTCACCAACCATTGGTAAGTGGCTTTCCTTGCTTGAAGAAAATAAACCACTTGGGAACTTAATTTTGGTTGCAGCCTCATTTTATTTTAAATTTTTGTAAATAAATTCTGCTGTGATGAGATATTTTGCTTTCAATTTCCACTTTTTCTGACTGGTGATTTCCTGTGAGTTGGGAATATTGTGATGAGTTGCTTAGTCTGATATTGTCAACATATATTGTATTCTTTTAGGACATCTATAGTGCCTTTGCTTAAAAAGCACATTGTTTTGCCATCTAATTCAGTAACAAAATAGTCCACACTCCACTGTGCTTTAAAAGTTAGACATGTGGCTGGCCGGTTAGCTCAGTTACAGTGTGGTGCTGATAACACTGAGGTCCAGGTTTTAATCCCTTTACTGTCCAGATGCCAAAAACAAAACAAAAAAAACCCCAAAAGTTAGACATTTGAAATCCACTTTTATCTTTTCTTGTTTTGACATGATATGCACTGGTAATAATAAGAGGTACATGTCACGTCATGGCAATACCCATGGCACTCTAGGTGCTGTGGAGTTATAACTACATCATTGCAATTTATGGTGCACTGAGCAGCAGTAGGAATCATTGAGTGCCACAGATAGTCTCTGTCCTAACTATTCAGTTCCGCCACCATAGTGTGAAAGCAGCCATAGATAGTGTGTAAATGAATGAGCGTGAGTGGGTTTTAATAATCTTTATTTATGGACTCTGAAATTTGGATTTCATATGTTTCACATGTCACAAAATATCGTTATTCATCTCTGGTCTAGAGAAAAAAATAAGGAGGGACTATGTTTGCAAGATATTCCTGGGGGTGGGGTGAATAACTGAACCAAATTTTGAAGGTTGGGCATGCATTTAGAGAGTTTGAGTACACTATTAGGTTAAGATAATTGATGGCCAGAGAATATACAGTCAGATGTGGGTCTGAAGGAACATGGAGGTCAGTTTGGGAAAGACGTTGAAAGGAACTGAAAGGCTATTGTGGTCAGAGCATAGTGGGGGGTGGAACCAGATGAATTTGAAGAAATAATAGAGGCCTGGTTGTGTAGACCATGATAAGAGTATTTTGATTGAACTTGCTCATAGTCATTCGTTACTCCCATTTGCTTGCTGTTGTTTGAGATGGCTACTTACACCTCCCTCAGCTTATGATCCCTTATGAGGGATTATGTACATGTGTGTATGTGTGTATACATGTGTGTGTATCTCAAATAGATGTATTTTATCCATTGTAAATCTGGCAGTTTGTCAACCCAGAAAAACTCCCGTTACTTCTTAGAAAAAAGTTCCTATCTAATGTTTTGATTATTGTAGTTTTATTTGTAATAATAATAAGTAAAAATTAATTATTCTTTGCAGACATCCTACGCTCAGCTACTTGCAGCAACATGTCTTTCAAAACTTGTCAGCCGAGTCAGTCCTTTACCTATTGAACAGAGGATAGATATCAGTAAGTGGTTTATTATGCTTTTCAACAAATTGCTTTTTAAAAATAAACTTTTCCTTTTAAACATGCTAAACTGTTTTATCAGGCTTGCAAATTATTTGATTCTGTCATTACTTTCAGATGAGTAGTCAAGTCTTGTTTACTCATATAGTGATGAACAATGATGTGTTGTACAATGTATAATCACAAAAGGTATGTTTGATTTAATAATAAGTAACAACTAGTATTTTATTGTGTGCATACTATTTGCTAAGGTTTGCACTATATCATTTTGCCCACTAAACAAATTTCTGAGTTATCCTCATTTTACAAATGAGGAAATTAGATTTATAGACTCTGTAATGGTTCCAAGAACACAGCTGGGAAGTAGTAGAGCTATGATTCAAACCCATTCAATCTGTGTGGAGTCCATGCTTTTAGCCATTAACTTAATGTGCAACTGAATGACAGGAAAGAAGTCAACTCTCCAATATTTCTTAGGATGCTATATCGAAATCATTTGGGATGTATATAAAATTAAAAACAGATTTCTACTCATTAGGAAAATAATTTATACATGGATAAACAGTGGTTGGAATTTACTGTAGTTGGAAAACTGATCTTATAAAGTAGCAATATATTTTTCAGAAGTAATATATTTTAAGTTTTTGTGTATGTATAGGTTTGCTTTTCAAATGGACAAAACTCTAATAATTGAAGTATGGGATTTTTTGGGTCATCCTTGTTCATGTTAGAAATAAAGTAATTGTTGACTCGTTTCTGCTCTTCAGCCTCAAGATTAAAATAATTTATATTGTATAAGAAAAATTAAAATGTATTATGTGTGGTGAATCTTTAAGCTCAAATTTGAATGGTCAGAAGCTCACAGCAATATGTCATTTGTGTCATATATTTCACTGTATTTCTCTAAGCATCCTGAGTCTTAGGACTGCAGAAAACCTAGAAAAGGATTTATCCATGCACTCATGGAGTTGTATACTTAAGAAAGCAAAAGAGAAATTTACAGTTGAAAATAAGACTTCAAATGGTATAAACCTAAATCATAAAACTTGTGATTTTGTTTGTTTGACTTATTTTTACACATTCACATTTTAAATAAATTACTTTTTTAGAGCAGTTTTGGGTTCACAACAAAATTGAGCACAAAGTACAGAGATTCTCATATACCCCTTACTCCCACACATACACAGCCTCCCCTACTATCAACATCCTGTACCAGAGTAATAAATTTGTTACAGTTGGTGAACCTACATTGACACATTGTTATTATCCAGAGTCTATGATTTGCATTAGAGTTCAATTCCATGGATTTTGACAAATGTGTAATGACATATATTTACCGTTACAGTATTGTACAGAATAGTTTCTAAAAATCCTCTGTTTGCCTATTCATCCCTCCCTTTCCTCAACTCCTGATCTCTTTACTGTCTCCATAGTTTTGCCTTTTCAAGAATTGGAATCATATAGTGTATAGCCTTTTCAGATTGGCTTCTTTCAGTGAATAATATGCATTTAAGAGCCCTTATGACCTAATCACCCCTTAAAGGTCCCAGCTCTTACAGTAGCAATTAAAATTTCAGTATGAGTTTGGGAAGGAACAAATATTCAAATCATAGCTATCAATGTGTGTCAATTCTTTCATCAATACAAACTGTCTTGATTACTGTAGCTTTGTGGTGTGTCTTGAAGTCAGATAGTGACAGTCTTCCAGCTTTGTTCTTCCCCTTCAGTATTGTCTTGGCTATTCTGGATCTTTTGCTGCTCCCATATAAACGTTAAAATCGGTTTGTTGTTATCTATAGACTTGCTGGTGTTTTGATTGGAATTGTGTTGAATCTGTAGATCGAGTTGGAAAGGACTGACGTCTTGATGATACTGAGTTTCCTGTCCGTGAATGTGGAATATCTGTCCATTTATTTAGATTTTCTTTATTTTATTTTGTCAATATACAAAGTGGTTGATTATTGTGGCCAGTTACCGAAACCTCCCTCCTCCCTCCTCCCTCGCCCCCTTCCCTCCCAGCAATGTCCTTTCTGTTTGCTTGTCATATCAACTTCAAAAAATTATAATTGTTGTCTTCTTCCCTCCCTACCCACTATTTTTTTCGTGTATTTATTTATTTATTTTTAGCTCCCAGAAATAAGTGTCTGATTCTTTTTGTTGTTGTTGATTCTTTCAGATTTTCTGAAAATGATCATGCCATCTGCAAGCAGACAATTTTATTTCTTTCTTCCCAGTCTGTATACCTTTTATTTCCTTTTCTTGTCCTATTGCATTAGCTAGGACTTCCAGAATGATGTTGAAAAGAAGTTCTGACAGGCGACATCTTATCTTGTTCCTGATATTAGTGGGAAAACTTCAAGTTTCTCACCATTAAGTGTGATGTTAGCTGTAAGTTTTTGTATATATTCTTTCTCAAGATGAGGAAGCTCCTCTCTGTTCCTAGTTTGCTGAGAGTTTTTATCATGAATGGGTGTTGCATTTTGTTAAATGCTTTTTTGCTACATCTATTGATACTATCATGTCATTTTTCTTCTTTTGCTTGTGCATATGATGGATTATGTTAGTTGATTTCTGAATGTTGAACCAGCCTTATATACCTGGAATAAATCTCACTTGGTCATGGTGTTTAAATCTTTATAGATTGTTGCTTCTTTTGCTTGTGCATATGATGGATTATGTTAGTTGATTTCTGAATGTTGAACCAGCCTTGTATACCTGGAATAAATCTCACTTGGTCATGGTGTTTAAATCTTTATAGATTGTTCGGTTCATCCACATTGTAGCATGTATCAATGTTTTATTCGTTTTTATTGTAGAGTAATATTCCCAATATGTAGATTATATGACAATTTGTTATCCATTCACTAGTTGATGGATATTTGCGCTGTTTCACTTTTTGGGCACTATGAATAATGCTGCTATGCACATTTACATACAAGTTTTTGTGAGGACATATGTTTTCATTTCTTTTGAGTAGAAACCTAGGAGTGGAATTGCTGGGTCATGAGGTAAATTTATCCTTAACTTTTTAAGAAACTGCCAAACTGTTTTCCAAAATGCCTATACCATTTTGCATTCTCACTAGCAATATGTGAAGGTTCCAGTTTCTCCACATCTCCACCTCACACGTCTTATCTTGATCTTCTTGTGATAGTTTCTTTTTGTTTCATTTACTCTCTATTTTTCTCTAGTAGTTCATAAGCCAGCATGGATTATAGCTCATATTTTTCAGTGTTCTTGGAACTTGGAATTGTTTCATCAAAGCATTTTAGTTAAGTCTTCACTGTTTTCCCAGATGACATGCTAGTTTTTGAGGCCAAAGTAGAAAGTGAATACTCCCCCTTTCTTTTATATTATTTTTGTATTTTTTGATATGCTTTGTGGCATATTCATTACCTGACCTCAATTAGTTAAAGAAGTATTTCATATTAAATTCCCATGATGTGCTGATTTCTAAAGTATCAATTCAGTGATAGAAAATTCCAAAAGTGTGTTTACAAGTTTGGGCTTAGTAAAATTTTGAATTATTAATTATTACTAAAATATATGTTTGGCCAGTATTTGGAAGCAGCAAACAAACAAAAATTATGACAAACCAAAACAACCTGACTCAGAGTCCCAGTCATTTCAGCTCTTTGACTTTCATATTTTTGGCCTGTAGAACAGAATAATAGTAATACATAATAGCAACATCTTCACATTGCTGTGACTATCACGTAAGATATTTGAGAGGAAATACTTGGCAATTTCTAACATGCTTCATAAATGCTAAATATTACTGTTATTGTCATATGGACATTTGACCCTAAAAGAGCCTCTAGTGCATAGCTTTCCAACTTTCTATTAACTTTTGTCTGAGAGTTTTTAAGCTGTTTTCTTTTTGTTTTGTTCTCCCATGTGTCTTCCTGAAAAATCTTTTTCTTCTTGGTATGGCTTTCCCCTGTTACTCAGACCAGTGATGATAAGATTGCAGTTGTTTTACTTGATTGTAATCATTGACATTTAACTAAATTGGAACAGTCTTACGTAAAAAACAGCTTGAGAACATTTTATATAAAACATTCAGTTAAAATGACAGAAATATATGCTAGTGATTTTTTTCCCCCCTGCCATAGATAATCAACTTATTAGACAGTACCTTTGATTGGGCAGTCTGGGAAGGTATGCTTATTGGTACCTACCTTTCAATGTGAAACTTCCTTTGTCTCCTATTTGGTTATTTTAGTATTTTGAGATTGCTCTCCTATTGGCTACCAGCACCCATACATGGTTTTCCCACATCCCTTCCAGGTTAAAAATTTTCAAGATGTTAAGATTAAAATGTAATTGAAGTAAATACACTGGATTTTCTTTTATATTCAAGAAGCATTGTCATTTTAAATTTTTTTATATTGAAATAAAAGATTACATGTAACAAAGCTTAGGGGAACTTATTTCTATGATTTATAGCAGAAACCTCCAATCTATCTTAATGGTAGGGAAGTCTATATTTGTATATTATTTATATATATTTATATTATTTTTATTTGTATAACTACAATTTTAATATTAATAAAAATAAGGTTAAAATATGATAGTTATGAGAACTTTTTAAAAAATATCAAGAATCTCACTATAATTGTCAAGAACAATTGAAATCGTCAAGACTAATTGAAAGTGTTCTTGGGATATTTTCATCAAAGCTGTTTTTAGTTAAATATTGAGGTATTTACCTTCTTTTCACTCTTTTCTCAAATAGCATCCTAGCCTTTGGGGCCAAAGTAGAAATGGAATATTTTCCCTTTTTAAAAATTCATCCTGTATTTTTCTGATAGAATTTTTGGTATGTTTGTTACCTGACCTCAATTATTCAGTCCACTAGGAAGCTTATAACTGAATTTGCTACCCACTTCCAACAATTTTGATATATTAACTTTATTCCAAGATTTACTTTACTATTCTATTCATGCTTGCTTTAATTTATGTACTTATTTTATCATATTGCACTATTTGTGTTTTTTATGCCCCTTAAATGGGGTAGTGTACAGTCAGTTTTGCTGTAACATGACGTATGTGTTCCTAAAAGTGACTGTCCTATGCTGTGTCACATAATAAAAACCACAGGGCTTATGAAGGAAATGAAATTATGGAAACAAAATTTTAAAACTTTGTTAATGACACATTAGGAAAAAAGATAAAAATCTAGTAAAAAGGTAGATGTTAAATGGTTAAGAAATATATAAATAGTACAATAAATATAGCACCTTACCTTGAAAAAGACCTGAAGTTTGTTTGTGGAAGTGGGCTTCAGAAGGCTTAAGAGTTATCATGAAGTGGTGGAAGGAAAATGATCTGAAATAGGATAGAAAATTATAATGCCACATAATGTTTGGTGTGACTGATAACACATGAGGTGAAATGAAGTAGCTAGTAGATGTTTGAAGAGTATGCATTTTGTGTATAGCATAGTTTTTTCGGCCTGGCTAAAGTTTTCTGCATTTCCCTAGCATTTTTTGTGGATGAAATCATGCAGAAACAGAAGTGACACTTGCATTATATTCAAATTATCCCCTAATATATCAAATGCATTGGAATAAATTTGCTTTTTCAAAATAAGCCTTATAGAAGAACTGACTATATATAAATAAGTACATCTTTTGAGGAAAGGGATTAACTTTTTGTGAAAGGGTACACGATGGAGTTTGGATGTGTTGTTCCCTCCAAAACTCATGTGGAAATTTGATCCCCAATGTGACAGTGTTGGAAGCTGTTTGAGTCATGGGGGCAGATCCTTCATGAATGGATTGATGCTGTCCCTAGGAGTGGGGATTAATGAGTGAGTTCTCACTCTATTTCCTGCGAGAGCTCGTTGTTTAAAAAGACCCTGGCACCTCCCTTCTCTCTCTGTCTCTTGCTCTCTATGCTTCCACCGTCTGGCAATATGCGACCTCTGCTTCACTATTGCCACCACCAGATGGACTTTGGACTTCCCAGCCTCAAAAAGTGTAAGCAATAAATGTCATTTTATTTTACAAACCACCCAGTCTCAGGTATCTTGTTATACGAAACAAAAATGGACTATTACAGTATGTCATTGCCTCTTCTTTTTCTTCATATGATTCACATTATGTTTCTGAAAAGTCCAGATGATCACAGAATATTTTCTTTATAGGAAACTACATTCTCAATTATGTGGCATCACAGCCCAAGCTGGTTCCCTTTGTCATCCAAGCTCTTATTCAAGTCATTGCTAAAATCACTAAGTTGGGGTGGTTTGAGATTCAGAAAGACCAGTTTGTCTTCAGAGAAATTATTGCTGATGTGAAGAAGTTTCTTCAGGTAAGAACGCATTATTACATTCTTAGAAGGTCACTACTTGCTTTTTTTTGGTTTAGAAATCTTCTTTATTAAAGCTGTATGGTTTGTTTTGTGAGTACTAGTACCATATTATGATTTATTATTTATCCTCTGGATCCTTTATTGTTTATTGTCAGTAAATGAGGATCATGTTTTTATATAACATCCAAATCAGAAGACTGCAAATATTATGTTTTCTAATTTCAAAAATGTATATTCTTTCATTTGTGACATGTATGTGTGTGTGCTTCATATATACAAAATGTGTGTATAATGCTTTTTATATATTATCTAATGCTTATTACAACCCTGTGAAGTGGATTTCATTTTGTAAATGAGAAAACCGAGGCTTAGAAACGTTAAATAATTTACATAGGGTCACACAGTGACCTAGTAAAGCATAGAGCTATCACTTCAACAAGTCTTCTAACTTACAATATTTTTGTTTTATTTTTACACTATGCCATATTGACCATATCAGTTTCTCTAGAATGTTTTCAACCTAAGTGATTAGAGTAGGGCTGTCTGGTTAGCTCAGTTAGTTAGAGCACAGCCTTTTAACACCAAGGTCAACGGTTTGGATCCCCATACTGGCCAGCCACTGGAAAAGCAAAAAAAAAAGGGAAAAAAAAGTCATTGCATATGTGCATTTAACATTTAACTTTCACAAATTCAGATATTAGGACTGGAAGAAAAAAAAAAAGAAGAAACAGAGCAAGAGAACACTAAATTGTGCCAGTGATTACATGTCCTGGGATGATTTAGGGAAACCTGAATCTGCTCTTGGTTCCTATATGCTGCTTTCTTAGGATGACCATCATGCCCTGCTTAGTATGATTCAGATGTTTAAAGATACATTTTTTTTATACAGACATAATCCCTAGTTGCAAAAAGACTACATTAGCGGGTGTCCAGCTGAAGAAACAGTGATCTGTTAGAATTTTTTAAGAAAATTGGCAGTTTTTATTTGAGAGATGATTCAGTATTGGTTTATTGGTGATTAGGGTAATTTGGGCTTTCTGAGATTTTACTTCTTATGTAGTAACTTTTTTAAAAATTTAATTTAATTTTACTTCTCAATATAGATTGTAGTTGATTTTCATGCCCCTTTACCCATTATGCAGTAACTTTAAAACTTAACCCCGGTGTAAGATGTTAACTCCATCATATAGCACAATGCGGATAACCTCAGAATATGAAATACTGGATTATGCTGCTTTTCTTTTATTCATGTTTTAAAGCCCTGGTTAACAAATATTTGATCATCTAAAACTTCACAGGAAATACATTCTTAGCCCAGAGGAGATCAGTGTACACTGGGGCAGAATAGTTTATTCAGAGACAGATGAGCTTCTCACTTTAGAGTTGTGTTTATAATTTGGCTAACACAATAGTATCTGCCCTCCTGTCATTTATTAAAATTGTTAGTCAAGAATTAGTAGAATAGACAAGAATAGACTTCGGAATTATTTGAAATTAAATCAAGTTTGAAAACAATGAAATGAAATCATTATTGTTGGCTAACATTTCTCAAGCTTCCTCTTCAGTTGGCTGATTAGTTCAGCTTAAGTTGAGTATTTTTTAAGTTAGTGCACTTTTGTCAGTTTTAGAAGACCAGAAAATGTTTTTTCTTGAAAGTTAATTAAAGTATCATCTCAGTGTATTTAACACTTCTTTTCTGGGTATATGACTTGACCTAACCTTGAGTCATGAGAAAGGCAATTGACTTTAGTAGTCTAAAGTAGTACCACATGGTTCCTTTGTGTATTAGCAGTTTCTGTGAATTTTGTCCTAAAAATTATTTTAAGCTTGTTAAATCTTTAATGGTCTGAATTTTTGTGCATCCTTTTTTCTCTGTTATTGTAACCCTATTCCTGCCACACATTCCAAACATAATATGTGCCTACTTTCTATATACATACCCCAGAGATAAGGGCAGTGCTATTCAAATTGCTGGCCTACAATAAGATAAGGAGCTTATGTCAAATCGTAAATGAACATGGTGCTTCTTTCACTAAGAAAGAATTGTTATGAAAAATATGCCAGCTGAACTAAACAGTGTAATTAGTGACTTAGTTATATTCTGGTACATCCTCTTTATTTTGTCATGGACCAGTACCAAACCATTTCTAGGTTAGGACTGAGTTTGCAGATCGCCTGTGGGTTTATGGGCCAGCAGTTGGTCAGGGAACCACACTTTGAGGAGCACTGACATAATGTACACAGAAGATGGATGCTTCAGTGAGTAGGAAATCTGGAGCTCAGTTCAGACACCCAGACTGTTCTGAAGGACCATGAAGAATTAAGGGAGCTGGCCAGTTAGCTCAGTTGGTTAGAGTGTGGTGCTTATAACACTAAGGTCCCAGGGTTCAATCCCTGTACTGACCAGTCAGCCTTCCACCTCCAAAAAAAAAAAGAATTAAAATGCAAAAATTCAGGGACATTTCTTTTGTTCATCTTTTGTTCTGAGACTGTAAATGAACATGCTGCACCTAGTGAACTAAATACCATGTACCAGAATATAACTAAGTCCCTAAGTTACACTGTTTAGTTCAACTGGCATATTTTTCATGACAAGTCTTAATGAAAGAAGCACCATGTTCATTTATAGTCTGACATAGTTACACCTAGTGACCCAGTGTTATTGGAATTCTGTGATAGTTAGAAAGGATGACAAACTACAAGATTTGAAAAGTATATCATCTGTATTAATTTTTTTTAATGATTGCACTGTAATTGGATGTTGCATTTATTATTTCAGTACTTCCAGTGTGATTTTGCAGTAGGGTAATTTGTTAGTGATGTGCATATAAAATCTGAATTTTGATATGAAGGAAGTTTTGAGATTAAATTGGAAGCTGATTAAGTTAAAAACATATTGGGCTATGAAACGATACCATGTTGATAGTCATTTATCCCACTGTATTGGGCACTGTAGATGCCTTTATTATAATAGGTACATAACAAATCCATGCACACGCACTATTAAATAATATTAAAAGGGCCGAAATGATCTTATCTGATATTAGATTAAGGGATTTGAATTAGTGCCTAGGCTATTTATTAATTATTTATTGAATGCTAATCCATGCACACGCACTATTAAATAATATTAAAAGGGCCGAAATGATCTTATCTGATATTATATTAAGGGATTTGAATTAGTGCCTAGGCTATTTATTAATTATTTATTGAATGCTGCTATCTCAGTAGGCTTGAAGCAGATTTATAGAACTAAAAAGCATTTGTTGCTCATTCTTATTTATGGTCTTATGAAAAGTGTTAAACTAAACTCAGTATCTTGTATTTTGAAACTTAGTTTATTATACATACTAGGTCCAGGAAATATTTTATAGAATATCATGTAAGGTAAGTGAGCCTTTTCTGCACTCAACTCTGTGTACCCAAATTTATCCTTCAAAAACTAAGCTTAAAATTCTTTTGTTTGTAGAACTGAATGATTTTTCTATGTATTTTAAGAGATATACTACTAAATAAATGTGATTTTCAGTATTTAATTACTTGGCTTAAACATTAAGAACAAATCAACTGTCTTCATTTAGGCTTAACTTGGTTATTTTTTCCAAAGGGTACTGTGGAACACTGCATAATAGGAGTAATACTCCTTTCTGAATTGACTCAGGAAATGAACCTGGTAAGCCTTTCCATCTAATGGGGACATGAAGTTTGCTTTAATAAGTAATGCTGTTTCTTTGCTGCTTTTATTTGTGGCAAAATGTTCAGTCTTCTTTGTGTGCCATAAAACTCTGTATAATCAAAATCTTTTTGGGTGTCTTCACCCCCCCCCCCCCCCCCCCCC